CATATTAGTAATACACGTTTTGTCTACTTTTGATATGTGTTTGTGTTTTCAATATTGACTTGGTAGTTATTATTTTATTTTTTTTTTTTGCAATTTTTCTTTATCGTGATTATTGATTCCACCAGTCATAAACAATATTATTATTTATCACTGATAATTATAACATATAACAGGCAATTCGCTTTACAATTGATTTGTACTGTATTTTTGTAAACAATCACTCCGTCAACTTTACCCATTCCCAGCGTCAGAAAAAATGTAAAGGTAAGATACACAATAATAACACCACAGTGATAAAATAAAATAAATAATTTAAACCAGGGGTGGCAAACGTTTTTAAAAAACGTTAGTAAACGGAAAAAAAACGAAAACAATTAATAAAACAAAAACAAAAAACCATAACAAAAAATCCCAAAAACAGAAAAAATATTAATTACGAAATTAAAAACGAAAACGCAAATAAATTATAGTATTATACATTATTATATTTATAACACGAAAAAAAAAATGTTACTTAAGTATTTACTTTTTAATCTTTACCAACAATGCTCTACTAAATTTAAAAACATTTTTATTTGAAATCAAGAATAATTAATTTTAATTTTTAACTCTTAAGTGCATTTCTAAATTGCTAAATTTACTACTATAAAAAAAAACAATATTATCAAAAACAATATAGAAAAATAACGTTTTTAAAAACGTTAATCAAAAACGAAAACGAAAAAATTAAAAACATTTTCTATCCCTGATTTAAACTGATTCATAACATTCTTGTATAGTTTAAATAAAAAGAACAATAAATATGACTTGAATCGATTATTTGATATTATCAACTATATTACTATCAATATTATTAGATTCTGAGCGGAGTGAGGGTTCTATTGGTTTTTCAATATTGTTTATTTTTATTTTTATTTTATCCTGCATACAAAATTTCTACCAGAAGGAGTTCTTCGCTTTTAACATATAGTATATCTTTTCTTTGTAGCAAATTTTATCAAGATGGTACTTTAGAGAGGTAATTTTTCAATTTTCTCAATATTTATTTAATGACACATTACAATTTCAATGACAAATTTCAAAAACCGCTAAAAATGTGATTTCAATTTCTAACACTTTGTTTATCACCATAGTAACAAATAAAATAAAAATAATGATTTTAGTTATTTTATCGTAATTTATAATATTAATTCAACTTACAGGCTATAATAAAATATAATTACAATATAAAATATCCAGACTGACAAACCGTCTCCCACTCAGAATCGTTTTTCGTATACAATGATATGATTTCATTGAATTCAAATTTAATACAATCCATTATACAGTGACCAACTATTGTAATCTACTGTACAGCAGAGCGACATCCACTTACCCGCTTTTTTAATATTCATTATTATAATATGGGAGTTGTGAGGCAAAACCCTTACGGCTTATTTTGAAACCATTTTTTTCATCCCCCTCCATTGAAATATCCTGAGAACGCCTCTGTATTAAATAAATTATAATACATTTATAGTGTGCGAACACTAAATTAGTTTCTCTCAGATACCAGGAGCCTATGGGTCGCGTATACACACGAGCAGTGTTTGGACGACCGGCAGCGTCGTCCTAGCAATATTCTGAATACGCATCTATAATGCGGCGTTCCCACGAGGCGTGAATTTAGGGAGTGATCCACGCCACGACACCTTCGTTCGTATCTCACGACTGAAAATCAAACATTGGTTGACTTGTGCCCACCCGGCCCCTCTCGTAAACATGCCTATATGTTCACAATAATACAGGGTGTCCCGTGAGGATTTACTCATTGCGATATCTCCTGAAATAATAGAGATATCGTAATTCTGTTTTCTTATTAAGACTCACAGAGGTAAGCACTACAAACAACTAATTTTTTATTTTTTTTTATGTTTTGGTAAAAAATTTAAAAAAATTATTTTTTTAATTAATTATTTAAAAAAATATTGAAGATTGCCATTTTTTAGAGTTCATTTTTCTGAAAATATTGAAGTTTCAACATTTTAATTTCATTAATTTCCTGATTTTTAATAATTTTTTAATTAATAAGTAAAACGGCAAAAAACCGGTTTTGTCCGGGCTACGAGTCCCCCTCTACGGCTAATAGGTATATCCTCACGGGACACCCTGTATATCATCAAATATACTTATTAATATTATAGGCTGACTGACCGTTTTCGCTCAGAATCGTTTATCTTATACAATGATATTATATCATTGGATTCAAATTTAACACCATCCATTGCAGCGATCCACTTGTTTATATTATGCATCTTTTTATTCGAAAAACTACTCAGTGAGAAACAGAAAATGAAAATGTTCTATGTCATGAATAAATACTGAATCGTTATTATATTGTTATAGTTCCATAGAACTTTTTTATTCTGATAAGTTTACGTAAGTATGAAAATGTTCTGTCGTCACGTTATTCAATGTTGGTTAGTATTAAAAGGTTTTATCAATAATACACGTCGATGAAACAATAAAAACAAAAATTACAATAATATCGTACAGTATTTTTCTAAAAGTATTTATTATATACCTAGTATAGACTTAATATTATTATAGTTTGAATTAAAAAAATATTTACCTACTTTATTATCAATTTAAATTGCCACCAATTTGTATTTAATATTTTGTTAGGACGTGTTAACGATAATGTGATAGGTATTACTTATAAGATATAGTATTAGCAGGATTATAAATAATAATGCATTGTCTCAATCTGCAATATGATTAAAATAATAAAATTAGGTAGGTAGGTACATTTTAGTTATTTAATTATTTATTCGCTCAAATTTTTAATATTTTTTTTTGATTTAACATTGAAACAATGTAAAAACAAATTTCCTTATAAATATTGATGTCGGTTACTCTGATGAGATTTAAAAATATTGTATGGAATTTAAAAAAAAAAAGTTTTACCTTTGTATATCATATCATTTAGTTGGAATAATGGAAAGATGCTGAGAACTATTTTCTTCTTATACACTCTTTTTCCAGTTTTATGGTTTTTATAAAATGTGTGGATGTCTAATATTTAATACTCACAATGTATCTGGTAATAATTGTATTAGTTTATTCATTAAAATTATGGTTATATTCATAAGAGAACCTGGAAAAAAGATATTGGATAATGGGTATTTAAAGTTAAAAATCACTCTGCTAAACAATTGGATATTATGACATAGAACCTTTTCATTCTCAACCCGCAATATGGCTGTATAAATTTATAGTACCTATATTGTGTATAGGTAATAGGTATACACAAAACCACATATGTCTACATAGGGAATTGGTATTAGCAAGAATATTATATAACTAGCTGATCCCGTGCACTTCATTGCCCATCAAAAATGCCAACTCTATATGAATAATATTATATAATAATATTTTATTTATATTATACCTGATAATTTATTACCTATATTGTAATAGTAGGCACTAAGTAGTTAAGTACCTACCTATTCACTAGGTATCGACATATAACTTTATAGGTAGGTCATGCGTCGTGTCATAATTAAGAACGGTTAAATATAAAACAATTTTTTCAGTGCTCTGGTTGAAAGAAAATCTTGCCAATCGTTTTTGAGTGAACTTTCATATGGCCACAACATATGCGATTCCATCGAAATGTATAGGTAAGTCGTACGTACATTCTGACATTAAACATACCTAATAGCATTGATTATAATATAATATACAATATACTTATACGATTTATACTCGATGCCAATAGCCAATAGGTTGGTTAGATTACATTAAATTTATTTGAAATAATTATTGAATACCTACTAAACTGATTAAATTATATTCAATATTCCTATTCCACCATACCAGCGTTTCTCAACTTATGGGCCGTCGAAAAATTAATAATTAATTGAAGACTTTTAGTAATGGTAGTTAAGGGGGCATAGCCACCCATTTTTCGCATAGAACATATTATTTTCAAAAATATTGCAAGAATAATTGGGTAAATATTATGTCGTCTACATACAATGGTTGAAAACCACTAAAGGTACAACAGTACCTATACGTCTGTACACATTATAGTTATCATCTGGTATTTAACTACATTGGTACAAACTATGTATCAATTGTAAAAGGTAAACACAAATACTCACAGTCCACTGAATAGGTATTAAAGTAGGTACTGATATATTGAAAAGGCTAATACCTATCTATATATTTAAATACATTATTCTTGGCATAGATTATACGCGTTTATTTTAGATTCTGAGCAGAGCAAGGAAGCTAGTGGTTTTACAATGGTGTTTATTTTTTTATTTATTTTTTTATTTTTATATCCTGTATACAAAATTTCTACCAGAAGGAGTGCTTTGATTTCAACATATAGTACCTTATCTTTTAGCAAATTGGACCAAGATGGTACTTTAGAGAGGTCATTTTTCGATTTTCTCAATAGTTATTTAATGCCATGGGAAAAAGTACTGAAAAACCGCTTAAAATGGGATTTTAATTTCTAACAATTTGTTTATCACCGTAGCAACGAATAAAAAAAAATAGGTAGGTATTATCTATATAAATATCATAAATTATTAACATGTATCATTAACTTATGAGTCAGTACCGACTTATCATAGAACCGCGGGTGATTAGGTTCATGGTAGGAAATAGTATAAAATTAATCTCAGGAATAACGATTTTAATATTTTGTTGTAGTTTATAGTACTCGTCATCGTATCGAGTAGTGGGTAGATTGGTATATTGTATGACATCTTGTATCTTGGAACCATTGAACCATAATAACAGTATGTAGGGTAATCTATATATTATAAAGCTTTAGGTATAGGTATGCCAACCGCGTGACTATGCCACTGTGGTTGCGATGTTTTCCGTGTAACAAAAAAAATATATTCCAATATCATTTTTCCGATAAATGTCAAATTATATTTTCTATCGTGATAATCATTACGTGTGTGTTCAACTTGATCAGTGCGCCGCTGGTCGAGCAGTGCATGGTGGACGACTGGTCTGACGTGTTGTCGACATCGTTGACGGTATTGCAGTCCAGGGTAGTGGCCATCGCTTCGGTTATATCCAGAGGAATCGTGTTGCACAACGCGTATTTTAACAAGTATCAAAAGTACAGGACGACGTTGGAGAGTTTTAGCATCTACTCGCCAATGACCGCCGCCGTTTGGAGCCGGTACAAATTGTATTCTGTCGTGACCGTATCGCTGTGTCTAACGTTCATGCTGCCGACGAACTTCGTAAAACTGTACAACATGTACTACAAACAAACCGACAGGTCCCTGTTGGTGACGCATTTCTTCTTCTTTTATTTACAAAATTTCAGTATGTACTTGATCGAAAACGATTTCGCCAATCGGTGTTTCGTGGTCTACGCCACGTTCCGAGACATTAACGACGATCTAAACAGGTTGAAAACCGAGCACATCGACCTCGGCAAATTTCCGTTCCTCCGGAAAGCTGCGGATGACCCGTGGTCGAATGCCGCACCTTCATCGCGTGTCGTCGTTTACGACAAAGATTTTTACTGTCCGAGAGGATAAGATAGGCAAAATATACGTAACTACCTACTATTATATTTAAATTTAATCATGCAGAATCTTTTGTTTTAGTTCCTATGTCTTATGACTTATTTCCTTATCCGAAGAGTACTGAGATATCTTCAGAAAGATAAGTAAGATCGTCACCATTAACATTAAGAGATGCCTAAGCTTAACGTAAAATAATATCGAATACTTAATGTATTACGAAGTTACTTTTTTCCAACATCATTTAATTTACTAAAATGCACTTACTTTTCTGGGGAGGAATTTCTTGAGTTACATAAACCAAAATATGATTTTTACTCATAAGTCATAACAATGTATTTAAATGATGTCATTTTCTAATAATCGATCGTTAAGTTTTCTAACTCTTTAATTATTAATTTACCTTTAATTAATATATAAGGATGCAGAAATGTTGTGTATAATAATAAATAATAATATATCCTATTATTTTTTTTTCTTATCCTCTTAATATTATTAATTTATTTTCGATGTTAGACTTGTATTAGAACAACCTAGTATTATAAACTTAAAAATTATTATTATAAACTTAAAAATAAGAACTACACATCCAAGGCTACACAACACAAGCACTAGCTTAAAGAAAGTATACAAGAAACAAGTATAACATTAATTAAATATTTGTAATTTATATTGCAATAAATAAATAAATAAATAAATATACAAAATATATTAATTATTTAGTGTTTTTACATCTAAGCAGCCGCTTAACCCGTGGTAATAATAATTAATAATTAAGTCCTAATAAGGCATTAAGGCGTAATAAGTAGTAATAAGTAAAGGTGGCATGATATAATAGATAGGTCATGAAATCTGGATTTAGTTCAAGGTGGTGAATGGCCATGCGTACTTATACAATTTATTGGTATCGGGACATTTTGATCCGCTGGGGATAAATTGATCCTTTGGGGGATATTTTGATCCGTTTTCTTGAAAAATAAATTGTTCTAAGGGGATCAAATTGTCCCCACCGGATCAAATTGTCCTCCGGGCCCCGGGGACATTTTGATCCTTGGGGACAATTTGATCCTTTTTTCCTTGGAGACATTTTGATCCGTTTTATCAAATAATGTAATTTTAAGAGCGGATCAAGTTGTCCCCGCCGGATCAAAATAACCTCCGGGGACTTTTTAATCCACGTTTTTTTCAAAGGGACATTTTGATCCGTTCGGTAAAAAAATGAAATTATGATTTTTTTTTTTTATATTTTATCATCTATCATAATATTTACTACTTATTTATGTATATCTTTAAAGATTTCTTTTTTTTCGTTGAATTATTATTATAAATTATAAATATATATATAAATAAATTATTATTATTATAAATTATAAATATATAATTAAATTATTATAGTACTATTATTGAATATATAAACAGTAAGATCCAACTAGGTATACGTATATTTGGCGTTTGTGTATGTCTATAATATAGGTATATTGCCCATTACAGGCGCATAGCCAGGGGGATGTTGCAGGTTGCAGGTGTAGTGACACCCCCTCACTGGCGTCACTTGTTCCTGTTATACATAATATAAAGTTATGAAGGTAATGATTCATCATACACAGCGATGTACCTACACACATTAATTATCATTACGAAATATTTATATACATACAACATATACATGATATGGTACCTACCTATTATATATTATTATTATGTATAATATAGTATATGAGTGTACGTAAGAATGTTATCAGACATCAATTAACATAGGTTGTAATAAGTTCTGTGCATAGCAAACTAGACGATTCTAGACTTCGTGGCTTTAACTGCCTAAAACTTATAAGTTATAAGTTTATAAATTATAATGGGAAATAACCTTGGTTCTGTTATATCTAGGGCTTGGAAGTAGTAGACGTTGCACACTATTCTATATGTTCTCGATGTATAGCAGACCTAGCTAGAAATCTGAGCTATAGCTATACCTACAATGGTCACCATTGAATGGTGAGTTTAAAAAGTGGGTAAGTAGATATCGATCTGCTGTACAGTAGGTTACAAGTGGGTCACTGTAATAGATGGTGTTAAATTTGAATTCTTTGTTCGAAGCATTATTTCGACTACTTATCGTGTACACAGACCAAAAAAAAAAAAAAAAATCAATAAAAAAATAATAAAACACACATCATTGTAAAATCAATACATTCATCGTTCCACTCAGAATCTAAAATATCTTAGAGGTTTTAAGAAATTGTCTTCAAATTATCACATTTTATTATTTTATATAGTGATATTATTGGTATAGGTTCAGTTTCTATTTTATAATAGATCAATAGCCAATAGGTTACCTAAATCACATTTTTTTAAATTTAAATCCCAGTAGTCGAGTTTTTGGAAAGTACCACAAAGAAGACTTATAATAATTCACATTGTAATTTAATAGAATGTCTATACATTTGCGGACCAGTTTCGTATAGTTACATTTGGCATGCGAACTATGAATGAAATAGAAAACCAGAATAAGTACATTGCTGATCACAAAAATTTCTGTAAAAATACGTACGATTTACCAAAGACCGTTTAGGTAATTAGTATAGTATATAAGTTCTATGGATTTATCATAGTAAATAATATATTTTATAATAATATCTATGGCAATCGTCAATTGTCGACATTCGTCGGCGACGATTAACAATTCTAATAATTTCAGTGAACAAAAAAATAATAAGCGATCAATATATACGGACAGTTTGTTATGAGCAAGATGATGATGGATGAAGATAGCCGTTTTTTCGGCGACGGCGGCACTCTAGCTAGATTTCACCGGAAAGTCGATGTTTACGCGTAAGTTTGTTTTCATATTATTGCTATTTTAGTATTTTACATTTACTTTAAGACTTAAATTAAATATTTATTGCCCCGGACAATCTGTTTACTGGGTGACGTAGAAGCATATTTTATAAGTTTAATCCTAAAAGCGCCATGTATAAAATACGCGAGACCGAACAGTCCAAAGTCCGTTTTCGTTTCACTACTCCAAGTTTAATAAGTGCCTTTTTGCATAGGTATACTATAAGCCGGGTATCACCTTAGGTTTTGCGTGAAGTATTTAAAACAATATAATGTTATCAATCTTTATATTTTATATACATAAATACATTATAAACCTCTTGTATTTTATTAGCATACTCACAAATTTTTTAGTGTAGTTTATACCCTATATGGCTAGATATTAAATGTTTTGCAATTATATATTTTACTATAATTATTATTTTCCATTATCATATAATATAAGAATACACTTTAAATTAAATTAGTTGTTATCAAGACAGACAGTCTTAAGACAAACTCTTTTCTGGATGTTATCAAAACGGATTATGCTTAAAAAAATTGCACAGTTGTCGTAGCAGTCAGTTGCTAGATCAACCCGTGAGACATTAAATAATTTTTTCGAAAAATATATGTAATATGTATGGCTCATACAATTAAGAATTTATAGTTAATAGAAATGCGGATGTTTATACTTCATAGATATATTTTTATTGAAATCTTGTAAATAATTGAATTAAACAATCGGGTACAAATCACTAGTATCAATTTTATTATATTACGTGTAAAATCACCGGAACAAAGTGCAGACTGCATTTTAAAAATTAAAATAATATAAAATAATGTTGTAGTAGAAGCTAGAAACTGTAGTTTATTCTAATTTATAATCCAATAATTAATGTAACCGGGAATGTAACTATTAAATTCATCATTGAATGATTATTCAGAGATCACTTTGGGATAAATGCCAAACATATAAATGTAAATCAAATTGAGAATAATTAAAAAACATTTTGTGAAAGGAACAAGATTACTGCTAATATTTAAGTCTTAATTATTATTAACAAATAAATACAAATAATAGATATTTTAATAGCTTTTTACCATCAACATTCAGTGTAAATAATTTCTGATTGACTTATATATATGTAAAAATCTTCTATAAAATAATTATTCGTATACAAAAATCCTAACAATTAAATGCAAGGATCTCATAAATTGATCTCACAACATCCTTTAAACATCAAAACTACATTTGTAAATCATTTATTCACTATCTACACCTACCAAATAAAAATTGTACAACATTTTAGTGCCCTGTTATGGTGTAGCTACTAATGCAAACAATAAATTATTATTCGAAAACACAATTTCGTATACCTATTATTATTTACTAAATACCTACAACTAAACTAAAAACAAATATATGATTACATTCTGAGTGCCTATAATATAATATTATATATGAAAATTGATTCCTTATTAGTTATTATGAATACTAATTGTTCACACAGACCACAAGAATAAATCATTTTAAAAATTTAAAAATTGAAGAACACATCGTTGTAAAATTAATTCAGTCATCGATCCGCTCAGAATCTAAAATCTAAAATATAATATCCGATAAATTTAAAATTAACATATATCATTATTATTATAATTTCTTATTTAGCAGTATTCGGAGAAAATGATAGACTTGGAATTTTAGAATCTAGGTAGTTGGTATTATAGTCGATACTGTAAATTTGATTTAAAAAAGTAGGTTATAGTCATTTTTGCCCAAAAAATTACATTTAAAATTGTCATAGTGTATTCGTGTATATAAATTATAATAATATACTCTATTTATAGTATATATTTGTCATTTGTCATGTCTATAAACTTGTGGACTAATTAGTTTGGTTAAATTTATAGTATGCGATAAATAACTGAAATAGAAAACAAGAATACATTGCAGACCACAAAGATTTCTGTAAAAGAACACGTACACGGTGTATCAATAGACCGTGTATGTGTGTTGAGTGTAGAAGTTCTATGGATTTATCATATTAAAAAATATATTTTATATCATCTATGGCAATTGCCAATTGTCGATATTCGTCTGCGACTGCCGACTATTAACAATTCTAATAATTTTAGTGAAAAAAAAAATAATAAGCCATCAATTTATACAGATAGTTCGTTAAGCAGTATACCATAAT